TTCAAGAGATTCAACCCTTCTAACCCAGCAATCAAACCGAGAACTAAAATGACAATAAACGTAATAAAGGAGGGAAAATCAGTTGCCACAATAATTCAGTTGAACAGTATGTTTTTTTTTTTTATATATATTTCGAATGTTTAGCTTTACCGTTGATTTGATTTGGTTTGATTTGGATCTTGTTCTTTAAATTAGTTTTTTTTATGCTGATTTATTCATATTTATTTAAACTTTTTGATAAGTTTGGTTTTATATATTGTTTTTCTTTTTAATATTATAAAATAAATCGAAACCAATTCGAACCGTAATTCAAACGGTTTATAAATGGTTTGAGTTTTTATAAAACCGATAAATAAAAAAACCGAAGAAACCAAACCGAAATACAATGGTTTATATATGGTTTTAGTTTTCGTAAAACCGATAAACCGAAGAAACCGAATCGTAACCGAACCAAAAACCGTAACGCCCACCCCTAAAATTAGTAATAAGAGAATCTTGGTCTAATTTAGTTTTTTTTTTCTCTCGGGTAAGTACAGAACAAGGTTCTTGAATTCAAGAAGATTGTAAAGGCAAGAGAGCAGGTAGTTGTTGCAGGAACCATGTACCACTTAACACTAGAAGCAAAGGAAGACGACAAGACGAAGAATTTCGAAGCCATAGTGTGGGTGAAGCCATGGTTGAATTTCAAGCAGTCGCAGGAATTTAAGGAATAATCGAAATGTTTATGTTAAATCCCCTAAAAATAATGAGTCCGACATACCTTGGTTTCGGACCAATTATAGGTGAAACTTGAAGTTAATGTAATCAAGAAGCTTGTTCTGTTTTCCTGCAATTTGCTTATGTATATTGGCTTCCTATGTTATTACTATGAATCCATACAACATTGCAATGTCGATTCAAAGATCGTACACTCAATGACAAAGAAGTTGAATTCTTTGCTTGTCCCTTGAGACAATGGACACTACTACTAATCATTCTCATCAAAAGTTTTCGATGATAAACCACAAAGAAACATGTCAACAACAACAGAGCTTTTGCCTCCAGCTCGCTCCATCAAAGGATTATTCAAAGAACATGAGCAAGATAAATT